TGTCCGAGGGCTGGCCGCTGTGCTTCCCGTTGGCGATGCCTGGAGGGGGAGGACACTTCACCTCTGCAAAGGAGAAGGAAAGGCAGATAAGAAATATGGACAGGGCAAGAAAAAAATACTTAAAAAATCCAACCTTCAATATCCAAAGGAGGAAGACAATTAATTCCATTAACTCCTTTGAATAAATGTGCCATGTTAGCTGTCTTCCTGCAGCCTCCACCTCAGCCACGGTCATTCCTTCTGGCACTCACCACCAGATCTTGCCAGCGGGGACGGACACCCGCGCACCACAGAGCCCTACCTCCGCACCGCGGCGGTGGCCCGCTCCACACGCCGTGCTCCCCGTCCGCCGTGGTGCAGAAGATGGAGGGCTCTCCAGCCAGCGCGTGGCCGGGGTCGCAGGTGTAGGTGACCACGTCCGCATAGGAGAAGGTGTCCATCAGGTGCCCGCTGTGTCTCCCATGGGGGGTGTCCGGAGGTGGATCACAGACGATACCTGCGGGCGTGTACAAGGTGGCTTTTAGCATCAGTGCGGCAGCAGCGCCAGGTGTCTGCAGGACACGCACGCTTCCGAGGAAGGGAACCGATGGGGATGAAACCATCTCAGCAGTAATGCTCTCTGGATACAATGACCCAAGTTATCCAGAGACAAACCTTGTGCATAAAAAATAACATGTGGGAAGGAAAACCCGCGCCTTTCTGTGAATTGCTTCCTTGCTGCCCACGTCTGGAGGTGGTGGGACAATTCTAACCTCCCTTTCCATAACCACTGGTGACACATGAAGAGAGAGACACGCCACACCATTCCTACACATGACCAGTGAGAAATACTTACCCCAGTAACAGGGAGTTTAAAATATTAATGGTTTTCCCAGTTTGGACCAAGGTAAATAAAAGAACTTTGGAAACATTTTCAGAAGTATCCAAAACAAAATAAAAGTGAAAGATTTTACACACGCATGGACTTGAGAAATCTTTTGCAATAAAATCTGTGTCTTGAAAGATGCGCCACTTTCTCTTGCAAGCCATCTCCAAGGACCTTGTGTTGTGGCCTACTTACGCTGGCAGACAGGAGCATCTCCACTCCACGAGACACGTGTGCCTGAGACCTCGCATGTTCTCTGAGAGCCTCCAACCAACTTGTACCTGAAGTCACACAGAAGGACTTGTTAATTTACATTAAGAGACTTGAGATTTCTTTGCAACCCTTGTAAGTGGCAGCCGAGACTTGGGAACGAGGTTCTTTCATGTGAAGCTGAAAATCTGCTTCACTCTCACTTGGCAGCTGAATCCAGCTAGTCGCAAGACTCACCCTTTGTCACAAGTGTAATTAACCTTGGACTCGAAGAGGAGGTCCGTCAGGACCACGGCTCTGCCATTCTCCGGATCCCCTGGGTTAGCACATTGTTTCCCTAGAAGGCAATGCCAGCCACCATCAGCCCTCAGCTGCTCACCGACATCCCAGCCAGGGATGCTAACACAGACAGCAGACTGCATAAAGAAACCCATAAAGCTAGAAAAATGCGAAAATCCAGCCAAGCCTGACACTTTAGGGTTTTCAGCACTTGCAGGACGTACTTTTACAGAACTCCAGCGCCACAGACCACGTCTGATTCCTGAGGCACGTAATGGCTGGCGGCATCCCCAGGTGCTGGGTGTACCCAGGCCGGCACACGTATTCCACCGACCTCCCCACGGGAAAGACGGTCTGGTTTCTGTACAGCTCCTTCAGCTCAGCAAACGCCAGTCTGGTAGGTGCATTGCAGCCAGCTACCAAGAAAGATAAGCCAGCCCAGTTGTTAAAGGAGTCAAGAAAAAGCAGATTTGGGAGAGCAGGGGGAAGGTTAACATTCAGAGCACTGTTTGAACACTTGCCCTGCTCGCAGACTGGCACGGGTGGCTCCCAGGTGTTATTTAGTTGGCACTGTACCACTCTGTGGCCGTGTATAACATAGCCTGGCTCACACTCAAAGGCAATGGTGTCCTTGTGTGTGTAGGCAGTCCTAGGAGACACTATTCTCCCATTCTGGACCTGCGGGACAGGACATCTTGCCGCTGGAAAAGAAGCGCAGGTCCTCAAAACAGGCACTTATGCAGTGTGCAGAGTTGTGCAGCTGCGAAGCCACTTAGAGTCGCAATCCCTTTTAAGACACAAGTCTGAAAATAATTTTCACATAGATGATTTACTGCCCACATCCAGCAATGTCAAACGTTGAGGGAGAGACCCAAGCTGGAAGGTGAGGCTGGGGATGCTGGAGGCAGTGGGGTGGTCCTCCAGCCTCCACCCCTCTGTCCGCCCTCACCTGCAAGTCAGCCCTTGCAAATCCTGCCCTAGCAGGCACTTGGGCAAGAAGTGCAATTGTCTGGAGACTTCCTAGTCTTTCTGAATATGAAGCAGTAGGGCCGGGAGGATTGCACCCGCGTATTTGCACGTGCACACACAACCCTACCTCCACACGATGGGGGAGGCCCGCTCCACACGCCGTTTTTCCCATCCCGAGTGGTGCAGTAGATGGAGGGCTCTCCGTGGAGCGGGTACCCGGGGTTGCAGGTGTATGTTACAGATGTGCCAAAGTGGAATTCATCCAGCAGCCTGCCCGTGTGCTTCCCATTGGGAATGTCTGGAGGCGGCTCACAAGGGATACCTGCAGAGGTGCAGAGCAAGGCTTCTAAATTCAACAGCAGCGCCAAAGTACTTTTGAAATCCCTCAGTCTGTGGGGCATAAACACTTGTCCTAGCGATGAAGTAACTGCAATGAAGTGACCTTCTAGGTGAGGCCACGGAGGCAACTGGATCCCGTCTCCCTGGCCAGCAATTTCTATGACAGTTGGAAAGCAGACCAGTGAGACAAACCTCTATGGAGGAAACACCTACATCCTCTATCTTGTCTACTATTTAAGAAATAAAAAAGCAAATATTTATTCTGCATCACCTGTGTAAAATCTTGATTTTTCAGCTGCACACAGTGCGAAGACATGCACAGGCAGCAATCTGTGTGTTACCTTAGGTTAATATGTACCTGGAGAATCTTTGAAATGCTTTAAAATCCCAGAATGTACCAGTAAATGTTTCTTTCTTCATATGAAACTGTCACCTAATCAGCAACACTACTTAATCAGCAGAGAAACACCCAGGTGTAATTGTGGAGGTGCGGCACGGCAGCTCTTTGGGTACACACCAGTTATCCGTGCTCGGAGTGAAGGAGAGAGCCCGCGGTTTGGGACTTTGGGATTCCCCCTCCAGCCCTTCCATGGTGCTCTGCCTCTCCTTAGGGCTGAGCCTTGCTCGCTCTGTCTCTAACAATAACAACCCGTAAGCTGAAGGTAATATTTTCCCTTCCTCTCTTGTAATGGCCTTGTGACGTTCGTCAGAGACAGGAGACCTGAGTACTGCTGAAAAAGCTTCAGCTGAGACACTGCTTTCTATAATCCATTAAGCTTTGAGATCTTGTACCTTTTTCCCAGAACATTTTCTTACGGCATCAAAACCTTCTGATATTTTTCATGCCCACAGAGCAGAGAAATTCCCCGTGAATGCTTTAATTGGAAAGATTTGGCAATCTCTGCTGGAAAATATTTACAGAATCCATGCAGACCCCTGGCGCGGTAAGCTACTTACGCTGACAAATGGGAATGTCTCCACTCCATGCAACACGTCCACCAGAAATCTCACATCGTCTGCTGGATTGTCCAACTAACCTGTACCTGGTGTTAAAAGGATTGAACGTTAATCCCAAGTCTCCTCTGTCTGAGTTACTACCTCCTCCTAACCGCCTCGGATGGTGTGATCAGCCCTGCTGACAGCAAAGCTGTGGCCCTGAAGGAAAAGTCCCCTTCCCAGCTCTGCCTGACCACTTTCACAGTATATACAGGTATACATAAGATGGCGAACACCCTATGTGTTACATAGGCACAGAACTCCACGCAGTGGCTTCTGTATAGGATCCATTTGTTGGGAGTGAATGAATAGGAGGAAAAAAGGGAGACTTACCCGATACATCTCTCCTTGCTCTTTTAACCAGTAGCCAAAACCAGGACTTACCCTTCTTCACAGCTGTAGCGCACTGTTGACCCAAACAGGAGATCTGTTAGGAAAATAATTTTCCCATTCACAGGTTCACCGGGATGATTGCATTGTTTCCCTGGGGGAGGAGAAAATCCTCATTTTAGGCTTTTGTCTACCTATACCATGGTACAACAGATGCAGCTATTACTCCAGTGATCTGTCCACATTTCCAGTTACCCCCAAAACAGGTTTCAAATAGCATAAAGTTACATGGCTTTACTAGTCACATATTATTTGAACACCAGAATAACGTTAAGGTTTTTGCAGCATGGACAGAACCTAGCACCTATTCCTTCTTGAACAACGGACACCAAATCAAGGAGCTATTCACTTTTACAGAACTCTAGTGCTTCTGACCACACTCCGCTCTCAAGGCATGTAATAGTAGGTGACATTCCTGGGTGTTTAGCATATCCTGGTCGGCAAGTGTATTGCACAGTCTTCCCAACAGAAAAATCAATCTCATTTTTATGCTCCTCATTTAGCTCAGCAAAGTGTAACCTTGTGGGAGCACCACAACCACCTATTGAGAAAGAAAAGAGACATGAGAATCAGGCAGGACAGGCATGCCCGATGCAAGCACGGAAAGAACACTGTTACGAGGAAAGGTGTTTGTTTTGCCTTGCCAAATTGTTTATTTTTATTAATATAGCTGTTATTAAACAAACACAACACAAATTCCCAAAGGATTCCAGAGGATCAGGTTCTTATTCCCAGAATATAATTAAATCTTCCACTCACAGGGTTTAACCACATTTTTTTAACGGGGTTAGGGGACATAAAATAGTAGCGTACCCCAAGGCAGCTATGTCACGATTTACCTGGAAGTTCAGGCCTGTTTGAGAGCTCCTGGTAATGGTACAGTCTGCTGCAGACGGGAACAGGAGGGTGCCAGCTGCCGTCCTCCTGGCAGAAGACTTTAGCACTGCCTTGCAGGCTGTAACCATCGTGGCACTGAAAGGTCACCGCTTGCCCAGGCGCGGAGATAAGTCCTTGACCATCAACTTGCCTTCCGTTCTCTATATCTGGATTTATGCAGACAGTCTCTGGAAATGATGATGTGCCAAAGCGATGTGCAATAGGAGCCGGAACAAAACAAAGCAAAAAACCCACAAGCTGTTAATATTGCAACAACAAAATCAAGATGACATCTACATGAACCTCCCCAGCCCCACCTTCACAATAGAATTAATTTATACCATGCAGCTCTTTACAGGGGGTTAACATTCTCTGAGGACCTGGTTGCAACGGTCAGGGTCTCCCCTGTGGTCAGAGCCACGCTATGAGCTTCTCCCCCGAGGGACAGA